ATATGATTCCAGTGTATTTATTTAATGTGTTAGATACCTTAAGGTTTACCCATTTAAATCTTACAACATAGCAGCATTTAGTGCATTCACAGAGTTGTGCAACCATCACCACAGTCAATTTAAGAACATTTTCATCACCCCAAAAGGGAAAGGTCACATTGCATATTGCTGTGAATGCGCTTATGCCACTGAACTGTATGCTTAGAAATGGTTAGAATGGTAAATTTTAATTTGCCATATTAAAAAGAAAGAAAACCCCATATCCTTCAGCTGTCACACCCCACACCCCCTCAAGGCCCTAAGCAGCCTCCAGTGTCCACTGTCCCTGGATTTGGCCGGTGCTTCCTTCTGCTCCACTGTCCTCTGCAGGCCTCGTCGAGAGCCTGGCTCAGGGCTGGGTTCCACATGAGGGAGTGGACATTGAGACTCATGCCATCGGGTTCTCTGCCACCTCCCAGCACCGTGCTTCTCCCTCACCAGGTGGACACACAGGCTGCAAGAGTGTGTGCTTTGGACCAGATGCCACCATGTACTACATGGCTTCCAGGAAGGAGAGGTCAGAGTCTGGGGAAGAAAGGCTTTGGGCGAAGGTGGGGCCAGAGCTGAGCCCTGATGGCAAAGAAGGACAGAAGCGGACTCTGTGTAGAGACACAGCTGGAGCCACACTGAGGGAGCAGCAGGGACTGTGGGCCAGGAGGAGGGCGGCGGAGAAAGGCCAGCAGAGGACAAGTCCTCTGCAGGAGCCAGAGCCGTACCTGGGTTCCCCTGATGCCAGGAAGCCCTTCCATTGCAGCCCAGCTCAGTGTGCTGTTTCTGAAGCTTACAGTCACTGTCTGTTAATACCACCCTTGAGTGGAAGGCCCTGCAATTAAGGACCACAGACTGGGTGGATTAGAGCAATGCACATGTATTCTCTCAAAGTTCTGGGGACCAGAAATCAGAAATCGAGGTGCAGTGCGACGGATCCTCTGAAGACTGACAGATCTGTTGCAGGCCACTCTGGGCTGCCTGGGGTGGCAGGACATTCTTGGTGCTCTGAGGCTATAGCTCCACCACTCCACCCTCCACGCCTGTCCTCACATGTCCTTTCCCTCTCTGTGTCTCTCTGTCCCTGTCTTCATTGAGCCTTCTCATAGGAAGGGCACCAGTCACTGACTTTAGGGCCACCCTAGTGCAATGTGACCTGATTTCAATTTAATTACATCTGCAGAGATTCTGTCTTTAAATAAGGTCGCTTTCAGAAGGCCCGGGGATTGGGACTGCAGCACAACCCCATCCTCAACAGGCAGGCATTTTATTCTTGCTGTTTCTAGAGTTGCATAAGTTGGGGTATGGAAGTGAAGCAGTAGCCTTTGGGAGACTTGCCCACACTCAGGAGGCCACACACAGCAAGCCCACAGGCTGGCACAGCAGGGACACAGGCAGTCCCGGAAGCCATGCCTGTCACCCATGGGAGAAAGGACTGTGTATCTCTCACCAGCGTGCATTCACCTCAGGGTGAACTGTCTGGATTCCTGGGTAAGGCCAAGGTGTCCCTTTTGACCTCTGGAGGAAAGGCCCACAAGCCACACGTTGGGAGGTCTAGTCCTTGGCCAGGTGCCCTCGAGGCCTCTACCCCTCATGATGTCTCTCCCATCCCCAGCAGACATTTGTAGACATTTATCTATTTCCCAGTGTGCCATGTGCTGTGCCAGGTGTTGAGGGAAACCCAAAGATGGACAGAGTCCCCCCCAACCCCACATGCAGGTGTTCCTTCAGGCATGGCCTTATCTTGGAGGGTGCCTTTGTATAGTCAGGATGGAGGAGGTGAGTAGCAGGGAGCTGGGGTTGGAGAGAAGAGAAACAAGCGTGAGCCTAGCCCATAGCTTGTGATGCAGAAAAACCATACTTGCCACGGTAGAAAGGTGTTTGTCTGTTATACAGATTCCGTGCAGATCCAATCAAAATACCAACAGCATACTTGGTAGAACTAGAGAAAATCCTAAAATTTATATGGAGCCAGAAGAGACCCAGAATATCAAAAGCAATTTTGAGCTGCAAGAGCAAAGCAGAAAGCGTAGAAATGCCTGGCTTCAAACTATACTACAAAGCAGTAGTGATTTAAAAAAAAAAA